AGAAAAGGGTTTCAGAAGCGGGGTCACGAATCGGCAACCGGAGTCCTCTATATCAATAGATGGAGCGGGGCTGGAAGAATCTCAGAGACGGATAGCTGAGTAATACACCAACAATATATTCAAGACGACATCAACAGGATAAAACCAGAAATGGAAGCAACATCGGGAACTGGAGGCGGAGGCAGTCTTCAACGACTGGATGAAGAAATTGGGTGTGGTCGTCGGCGTTACTCGGAGAGACATCATGCCACTTCTCAAGGGAATGCTCAGGCCTGATCCCTCGGACACCACCTTCGCCGCATACGAGAGAGCAAACGAAGACCTGTACGCAATCCTATTCTGCCTCGTCGAACTGCAGGCTGCACTAACCGTACACAAGCACGAAGACGACACCGGCCTTAGCGGCGACGGGCAGGCAGCATTCGCGGAACTGAAGGCCAACTACAATCGAGTGACAGATGAAGTGATCAGGGCTAAACTGGACGACCTGGAAAGGACGGTCATGGAGCCAGGAGAGAACCCGGACGATTTTTTCAACAAGAAACACCGCCTCCGCTCTCAACTAGCGAAAATGGGGGAAAACATCTCCGATCGCCGCATCAAGGACATCTGTGTGCAAGGTTTCTCCGAGGACTACAAGGACATCAAGATGATGGTTTTCCGCGACCCATCATTCGACGTACAACAGATGCAAGCCACCATGCGCAACATCTTCCTTGACGAGCAAATGCGCAAGAGAACCAAGGGCCAAATCGCTGGCCGCGGATTCGCCATGGCTACCAAGACATCTGGCCCCATCTGCTTCGAGTGCAACGAACCGGGACATGTCAGGAGGAACTGTCCCAATCGCCGGCGGAAGGGCCATATGGCGAAGAAGACGAAGCCTGCGGGAGCAACCAAGTGGTGCTCCGTCCATAACACCACTACACACTCCGACAAAGAGTGTTACAGCCAAGGAGCCAAGCGACCACAACGCACGGGCAAGGCCTTCTCCGCATGCACACACTGCATGCACTGCTCAACCCAGTCAGGAGAAACACACGCCAAGCGTACCACAACGGAAACTCCCAAAGAAACAGAGAAGACCGAGAAGGCAGAGATCGATTTCTCTTACGACGAAGACGCATTTAAGGGTGGATTCATGTACCATTCTACATGCAGCAAGGGAAGCGGGCGCACTTTCACGATGATTGCAACTGGGACTTCAGCACTGGTGGATTCTGGAGCTTCTGAGACCATGNAGCCAAGGAGCCAAGCGACCACAACGCACGGGCAAGGCCTTCTCCGCATGCACACACTGCATGCACTGCTCAACCCAGTCAGGAGAAACACACGCCAAGCGTACCACAACGGAAACTCCCAAAGAAACAGAGAAGACCGAGAAGGCAGAGATCGACTTCTCTTACGACGAAGATGCATTCAAGGGTGGATTCATGTACCATGCTACATGCAGCAAGGGAAGCGGACGCACTTTCACGACAACTGCAACTGGGACTTCCGCGCTGGTGGATTCTGGAGCTTCTGAGACCATGTTCGACAACCGCCTCATCCCGAATGGACGTCTCGAAGAAGAACGCCCGACGCCCAAGATCATCGACGTTGCAGGAGAAAGCCAACTTCAAGGCACTATCACTAGGATCCTACACTGCACCATCAAAGACGACAAAGAACAGCAACTACCCGTCAAACTACAAGGTCTCATCGTGCCAGGACTAGGCCGGAACATCTTCGCACCAACGGCCCTTCTCAAGGAGGACCTCCGATGTGTCCTGAAAGACAAGACCCCACACCCAACCATCGGTGGAGAAGTCGTCGTTCATCTGAAACAAGAGACTCAAGACCAAGGTATGTGCACCCTCGCCATCACATTCAAGGGCGATGCAGCGTCGACAAGCAAGACACCCCCAAATAACCAAGAACCAGGGCGCAAGCCGAAGTTCGGAAAACCAGAAGCGGTACAGATCGATCACACTCCGCACGCGACATGCTCAGTGGCGATGAGCGTGAGCGCCGACCTCTGGCACCGGCGCCTCGGCCACATCAATCCACGTGCTATGGAGATTTTGCGGCGCAACCCCGCCACAGGTGTGAAATATGACGGACCTGTATCCCCGTGCGACAACTGCCAAATCACGAAGCACAAGAAGGCTCCCGTCCCGAAGAAGACCAGCCGTTTCCTGACCAAATCAGGCCAACTCGTTCAGTTCGACAACATGGGACCAATCGACCCGCCTGCGAAGTACAACGGACGCACCTACTCCTATGTCGCCAAAGCGACCGACGTCTTCACCAGAATGCGGGAAGTGTACCTACTGCGCGACAGGACCGAAACCACGCAAGCTCTGCACGCCTACAACATGCAAGTAGCATCTGAAGGCTACCGCATCGAGGTTCTACGCTGTGACAAAGGGGGAGAGAACACTGGGGAAGAAATGCGCAACTACTGTAGGGAGTCTGNCGCCACAGGTGTGAAATATGACGGACCTGTATCTCCGTACGACAACTGCCAAATCACGAAGCACAAGAAGGCTCCCGTCCCGAAGAATACCAGCCGTGTCCTGACCAAACCAGGCCAACTCGTCCAGTTCGACAACATGGGACCAATCGACCCGCCTGCGAAGTACAACGGACGTCCATACTCCTACGTCACCAAAGCGACCGACGTCTTTACCAGAATGCGGGAAGTGTACCTACTGCGCGACGGGACCGAAGCCACGCAAGCTCTGCACGCCTATAGCATGCAAGTAGCATCTGAAGACTACCGCATCGAGGTTCTACGCTGTGACCAAGGGGAAGAGCACACTGGGGAAAAAATGCGCAACTACTGTAGGGAGTCTACGATCAAGCTGGAATTCGCCGCGACCAACACGCCCCAAGAAATCGGAGTGTCAGAAAGGGATGGCCAGACACTTGCGGCTGTGACTCGAGCTCTACTGCGCGATGGAGACTTCCCAAGACACATGTGGGGGGAGCTCATGATGACTGCAGCGTACCTGACCAACAGGACCCCACACGCGGCGCTAGGGGGAGCCACGCCGTATTCCAAGATGTACAACACAACCCCGGACCTTTCTCGACTTCGTGCCATCGGCGCCCGCGCGTTCGTTCATCACGAGCGATACATGAAGAAGCTAGACGACCGGGCCTTTGAAGGCAAGCTCTGCGGTTACGGACCTGACAGGAGGACGTACCGGATCTACGTGGCGGAGGGCAAAGACAAGGTCTACGAGAGCCGACACGTGACTTTCATCGAGGCTCTATCCAACACCATCCCCCCTCACCGGTGGGACGATCGTCTCGGACATGAACAGGACGTGATGAACTTCACGTCATTACTCGGACGCGGTACCTCTATGGGCGACGAAGACAACAGGATGGACTACGGAACACAGTCAGAGCTCCTACTGCACGAGATGCGCAACATGCAGCAAGACAACATCAACCGAGCAGAACTTCAACAAAACAACGCGGGCACGGATTCCGACGACTACTTTGCTGCTGGGGGAGATGACAGCAATGACAACTCGCAGACTACGACACCATCCAGGACATCGCAGGACACGACACTCGAATCACCCACGACGCCAACAGAAACGAACTCCGCTTCGCCAGCCCCCATCTCAATGCGTCGATTAACGGTGACCCGTCCTGCCACGCGCACTCACCAACCCACAGATGACCCTATCGACCCTTCATGCATCCCGAAATCTCTGGAAGTGAACANCCGATCCCAATGCGTCGATTAACGGTGACCCGTCCTGCCACGCGCACTCACCAACCCACAGAAGACCCTATCGACCCTTCATGCATCCCGAAATCTCTGGAAGTGAACATAAACGACAGAGGACGCTCTACCATGGCTGTCAGCCACCCCGAGCCACTGGAGCTCACCGAGGATCAACTACTCGATCTCACCCACCAAGCGCAGAAACGATGCCCTACTGACGCGGCGGATTTTGCTCACCTGGACGAACACCCCTTCGCCGAAGTCCGGGCGTATGCTTACGCCACAGGCACCTCGAGCAAAAGGTTATTGGGGGAGACAAACCAAGAGATCAAAACTCCGAGCACGTACACCGAAGCCATGAACTCATTACAACGCGAGCAGTGGAAGAGCGCTATCAACACCGAGATGGGTAATCCCGCCAAGCACAAAGTCTACAAGAAAGTACGCATCAGCCTGGTACCGAAGGATGAGGGCATCTTCGACTCACGCTTCGTGTTCAAGATCAAGGCCGACAGCCGCTTGAAGGCCCGCTTAGTCGCCGGGGGACACCGCCAACGGGCAGGATGACACTACGAAAGGAACTACGCTCCAGTCACCCGATTGGGTAGCATCCGCATGCTATTCGCCATCGCTTGCGAACACGGATGGGAGGTGTGCCAATTGGACGTGGTAGCTGCATTCCTGAACGCCTACACCGACAGAGACATCTACGTTAGGCCGGCGCCGGGCGACGAGGAGAGGGACTCCACGACAGGTGAAATGATGGTCTACAAACTGGAGAAAAGTCTGTACGGCCTCTCACAGTCTCCGTCACTGTGGAAGGACGCCATCAATGACCGACTCATCATCTTCGGCTGGCAGCGCACTCACTCTGACCCCTGTGTCTACGTCTTCGTAAGCGGGGACGAACTCACTCACAATCCTCGCGATCTACGTCGATGACATCCTCATCACGGGCGGAAACAAGGAGATCGTAAGCAGGAAAAAGAAGGAACTCATGGACAGCTTCGAAATGACAGACATGGGAGAGGTCAAGCGCGTAATCGGCATCGAAGTGCAGCGGGACTACGAACATGGCACACTAGCCATATCGCAAGGACCCTACGCGAGAGATATCCTACAGCGATACGGAATGGAACAGGCAAACCCGGTCAGCACCCCCGGGTATGGAGCAGAACTATCAACCGAGCAGCCACAAGACCAACTACTCGGACCCGAGGACAAGCAGAGATTCCAGGCCATCACCGGGAGTCTCCTGTACCTTGCCCAATGCACCCGCTACGATCTGTCATACGCAGTGCACCAACTGACACAGGCATGCGCAAACCCAGCACAGGTCCACATGGCTGCGGCCAAGCACCTACTACGGTACCGCGGGACCTGCCGATCGTGTACAAGGAGGGGGCAGTTCACACTCTCGTGCTTCACTGACTTGTCATTTGGAGCCAACCCAGACAACGGCAGGTCTACCACCGGATTCCTGTTCTTCCCAGGAGGGGGGCTGATCAGCTACGGGGCCAAGGCACAGACTCTCGCACCAAAGAACACCGTGGAGGCCGAACGTCAAGCGCTGAGCTTCAGCGCTCGCGAGGCAGTCTACATCTCCAACTTCATGACGGAAATCGGATTCAAGACCTTTCGATCGGT